CCCCATGCTGAGCCAGTGGGGCTGGGGGCTGCTACCACCATGTGAGCATCCCAGAGTAAGCTGGTCTAAATAATAGGCCTGGTCACTTAGCTACTGTAAGGCTAGGTTCCTCCTGAGCCTCTTACATGGGGCTCGCATCCTCCTCTCCCCCTCATGGGTATTGGTGATGCGTAGGGGGTGCACCCGGGTGCATGTGCACCCCCTGAGATTGGTGGTGCACCCCTGAAAAAAGTAGTCACCATTCACCACTGCTTACCATCCACCCCCCCACCACTGCTGTGGCCGCCTGCGGGAGCTCCCCACTTGCCACTGCCATGCCCCCGCTGCCACCACTGCCTGCAGGCAGTCGCCATGCTCCCCCAGCCTCTAGGGGCATGCATCATTCATGCTTACGGGTGCTGTGGTGCCACAGCAAGGCCTAGTGGCAGCTTCCGATTCTGCCCCAGCCCTGTGCTGTCACTACCCCAAGATCCCACCCTAGGTGCAGCTCTGGGGAGCTGTGTGGGCAGGGAGCACAGGCAGGCAGTGAGCTGTGTCTACGGCTGGGATCACGAGGCGGTGCCAGTGCAGAGCTGGGATCTGCTCCTTGCATACCCCTGACTATGGAACCCATGCCCGTCACAGGGTCATGCAGGCAGCAGATCGTGGCTCTGACCCAGCCCTGGCCCTGCACTATCACCAACCCATAACCCTGCCCTGTGATCCCAGCCTTGCCCACCCATCCTGCTTAACACCACTGTCTGGAGCCCCATCCCACATATGGTGTTTTGGTGAGTTGTTGTGCAGGAGGGTGGGGGGAAGTGAGGGGGGGGGAGTGCTGACCTGTCCCATGACAGCTGACCCAACAGTCTATGTGGCCCTTGGGCCCAAATAATTGCCTGTTCCTGCCTTAAGAGAATGACAGTCATTGGTATTGTATTGTAGGAAATACAAATACATAAATACAAACTATAAGAGTCAAGAGGACTTACAGGTTTTGATCTATTAAAGTTAGTGAAAAATGTTCTCCCCACATAAAATCTGTAGCCTAACTTCTTCTGTTATATTATCTGGTTAGAGAAAGAAACCAAGCAAATTGATAAAGTCTGGTTCAAGGAAAAGAAAAAAAATGCTTCAGAGAAGAATTCTGGGGCACATTTTTCAGTTTATAAACCTAGGGTAACCATATTTCAAGTATCAAAAAAGAGGATACCTGGAGGGGGGAGGAAGAGAGAAGAGGAGAGGAGGGGGCCAGGGGAGGGAGGCGGCAGTGATATACCCGTGTCCTGGCTCTGCCCCTTACTCCTAAGGCACAGCCCCGCAAGGCCTGCTGCTGCCTTTCACTCCTGACCCACTGTACCCTGTACCCCCAGCCCTGCCAGTGCCCCTCACTCCCAATCTGCAGCCCCTACCATCTCCCACCCCTGCAGGTGCCCCTCAGTCCTGATCCACAGCCCCCTCTCCCTTCTTCCCCCCGAGCCTTGTTGCCCATGCAGCTCACACCCAGGCGCACACACAGACACTCTCTCTGTGTCTCTGGCTCTTTTACTTGCGAGCGGCTGCCAGGCCCACATGCAGAGCACACGATCCTGATAGCCAGTCACCTTGCCCCGTTACCCCAGCCCCAAGAAGCCAAGCTGGAAGTGCCTGGGAGAGGGTCAAAAGAGAGGACATGTCCAGGAAAACCCAGGCACATGATAACCCTAATAAACCAAGATAAAACAACATTAACTGAAAACTTCTTTGTCCTTGACTGAAAAGGTGTCCGTTTCATTTTACATCACCAATTACTTGTTACCTGAAGAATCCCTATGCTGTAACTGCATTCAGGACACATGCTTTCTTTCAGTCATCTTTTCAGTGCCTGTAAACCCAGGTTATTTTCACAAGTACTACAGTGGTGAACGAAAATAACATATTTTCTAGTTTCAGCATTAATAGTTTCATAGTTGTTAGGGGCTGGAAGGAACCTTACAGATCATGAAAATCTGCTGAGGAAGCACAAACATGTTATATATTTACAGACAGATTTTAAAATTTAAGCTCATTCTTTTCTAAGAATTCAGCTTAGAATAACCAAGTAATCACTTATTAAATTACATTAATAAATAAAAGTTTTGTGATTTATTTAACGAGTCTCTAGAAACTTAGATAACGTTCTTTAGCTATGATTAACGATTCAGAGTTATTTTTAATGCATAGTAACAGTCTTGCCCTGGTACTGAAGATGTGTTCCCTTAAGAACTTACAAGATGGGATGGAGGTAACAAGGTGCCTGTTTTTCTGAAAAGTGTTAGTGAGACCCTCAGTAGCCCCTAATGCATATGGCTCTCATTCTTTGTCCAGGCATTTTCCATTTCAGAAGCTAGTGTTTTAAAGCTGTTCTAGACTTTGTTTCCAGGTCGAATCTCCTTTTGAGTTTTCTCTGTTTAAGGAGTCATGCTTCTCATGAACCACTTTCCATATGAGGAGATGAGTTTGCTTGTTACCCAGAATTCTCATTTCTCAGATGCTCGTCTCTCTCAGGGAAATGTCAGTTCACTAGCAATATATTTGTGTTAGTTATGCTATTTTGTGCCTTTCACACCTTATTCCCAGTTTTACTATGTGAGCAATCACATGAAGTAAAACAAGTGTGCACTGTTGATGTAGATAGTTGATGTATGTCCAAGAATGCAATGTGTATTCTAGAATCCTTGATGGTGCACTCCCATCACCTTCCCACTGCCAAGTTATAGCTATAAAAAGCAGGTCTTCCATCTTGCTTTGCACACCCTGAAATAAATCAGGATCTTTTTTGGCAAAGAAAGCCTTCTTTGTAGTTACTGCTTCTGCTGCTGAAATAGTTACCTTACCTGAGGCACTGCAAGCAACCCTTAGTGAATGCCCTTTCAGACATGACGGTCATGGCCTCTTAAATCTTTAAGCAAAAGATCCAACAAAAATGCTAACTTGCTTTATTGAGAGTAGTCATAACTGGCAAGATAATCAGATAATAGCCACTCCTTTACAGAGCTGCAGATGAAAAAAATCTTCCTATCAAAAAAATCCAACTTTCTGCAGTACTTATGAGAATGTATTTCTAGTTTCAGGCTGCACTGGGTCTTTCATGAACTATAGGCACTACTAAGAACTTCAGAGCACAGTTACTGGAAGGAATACTGGGACATGACAGGGCCTCAGCGCCCCCACCACTTCCAATATATCTTTTAGGATGACATTGCCAGCGGAATGCTCTTATCATAAGTCCGCTTGAGAGCTGAAAAGGTAGGAGTCATGAGGGGAGCAAGAGAGAGCCATGAAATGCACTTAAAGCCATGTCCAATCCCTTGATATAGCTGTGTGGAGGTAACCAGGAGTTCTAGCTGTGATGGTGGTCGATTCTAGTGATCTTTCCTCCAAGACTTTTTCAGATGTCTTTCTACCCTTACCGAACCAAAGGTCTTAGATCAAGGTGAAGCCGTAGCCAGCCAGAGCTGTTATTTAGAACAATGTTCCTGTTATTTTGTGCTGCATATCATTTTGGTGCCCCACAAATTTTGGCACCCTAGGTGACCGCCTAGTTCACCTAATGGCTGGATCAGCCCTGGGACATGACAGTGTCTTCCTGGAAGCTAATGGTGTGTTTCCTACAGGTCCTTGGCCAATTCAACCCTCACTGTATCATACAACTACCTTACCAATGTGTGATGATTTTAATATATCACAGCCCAGGAGATTTCTGGTGGACAATTAAGTTCCAAATCTAATACTATAATTTTTAAAATAACCAGGGAAATTAATATTGGGTCAATTACTGTACCTTCAGGAAAAGGTGACAGCTGTCATCCTATAGGTACTCTAAAAAATAGACTCTTATTCAAATCCATGTTCTTTTACAGTTGCACAGACTTTACACAGGAAGGCATACAAATTTTGTGTGGCCTCTCAGGACTGAATGGAAGCAGTATATATTTCCTGGCAGGATGGACCCTTATCTTGGCAGAAGGACTTCTGCTGGGTTTGGTTATCTTAGCCTGATCAGCCTGTACTTGGTATAGAGCTCACAGGTAGCAAAATGATAAAGAGCTCATTAAACAGAGAGACCAAAAGGGAACAGTTGAGATCTCAAAGCTGTTTCTATCATTATTCCAGAAGCAGCTGCCAGAATGGGGTGAGGAAGCTAGACATCCTCACTGTTCCTACAGTCCAGCCGCTATATGCAAAAATAAGTAGCATAAGATGGAAATGTAGCTAACATCTTTGGGGAAGTTTCACCCTTTGTGTATGTAGTACCTACCAGAGGAGTCATGCTGCTAGTTCTTGTGACCAAAAGCCATGCTTGTTCACAAAACCAGAGGTAAAACAAACACTGCAGAAGTTTTCCTGAGCTATCTCCACTAATGTACCTTGACACTGACCTAGGCAGGGTTTAAAATTGCTGGGTAAGAGAGTTTCAGCTACTAATCTTTTCTTTACCAATCTCTTCTCCATTTTCTTTATAGCAAAATGAAAAGATTCTAAACAAACTTAGAGCCACAAAGTGATTTCATGGCAAAGCCTGTAATATGGGGCAGAAGTCCATCAAGGTGAGTTTTTACAGATAACAATCCTTATTGTTAGTAGCACTCTGTATCACAGTAATGTTAGGATATAAAAAGGCTTTATATAAATATTAATGCAGTCTCACAATATGCCTTTGAGGAAAGCATTAGTTTGCACTTTGGCAAAAATTACATATGGGAAAAGAGAGGCAATAAAAATTAAGTTAGTTGTCCAAATTCACAAAAGGGTATCCATAAAACAGGATCTGAACCCAAATCATCTAGGTTTCCAGTCCTGTCCTCACCATAAGACTTTTTTTTCTTCCAACTGGTTCAATCTTTTAAGGTTAGTCACATATGCATTGTGTAACTCTTCTGACATGTAGATAAGACAATAATCCCACATCATATAATGTTCATTTCCAAATATAAGGAAGCATATAGCAAGTTCATAAGTACAGAAGAATTACAGAAATAAAAGGAAGCAGAAGAGCTTACCCAAATCCAGAAAATAAGCGACAGAAGAGAAAGAAGCCATAGCCCTGGACAAATGATGAAAGGAAGGCAAAGAATCCATTGATAGACATACATATCAGGAGAGACTGCCTCCTTCCCACCTTGTCTGCCAAGCCTCCCCAGAAGAATGCCCCCACCATCATCCCAAGGTACACTATGCTACCTGAAACACACAGAAAACAAGATGTTACTTTGTGAGCTATACAACTGACAGGAATTGACAACAAAAAAAATCATCATTTATTAGAACATTTTTTCCAGCAAATTTTCTTTGTGAAATAATACCTTAGGGATTTTTTCTATCTGTTTATAAAGGACTTATGTATATAGATTTGCATATGTATCTAGAAAAGAATAGACTCCCTATGTCTCACTTGTTTGTTAGCAGACACACTTAGCCTTAATACTTTATTAAACTAGATGCCTCCAGCTAAACAATTAAAATACAGACAGATGATCATGAAGTATAGGAAAAGGGTTCCCACAGTAATATGCTGCATTCATGTTGAATGCCACAAAAATTAAAATCTCTTCTGTAGAAAAACACTGTCTGAAATTTTCTGTTAAAATAAGAAGTCAGGTACAGGACCATTAGCTTCCAATACCTGTTAAAAACAAGATGTGTTTAGCCAAAATGAGAAAGGTTAAGAAACATAAAATACTGGTCATCACAGTGCTGCAGAATGGAAAAAGCCCCACTTCATTGTTTGTTTCTTTCTTTTTTCTACAATAGTTGTTGATATTCAAAAAGGTACTGTCCTGCACAAGGCAAAGGATTTGAATAATGCTCTGTCCAAAGAAGGTTTTAAATATATCTGCACATATTAAGAATAAGGCAGTGAAAGTCTTTTTTGGATACAGTTTTAAACTAAAATATAACAAATGATATACTACTGATTAACCAGCTTATCAATAAATTAAATTACAACTCAAGAAAAAGGAGAAATGTCTAAAGAAAAATCATATTTAAGATTTATTAACATATATTACTATCATCTTACATTAGTAACACTGAAAAATTAATATAACTTTCTAAAATGTTTGTTTATTCAGGTTTTTTTCTTTCCTGCCTTAAATAAGGAAAACAGACTAGCCAGTGCCTTGGCAGTTTCATGTATAGGGCCTCATGTACTCAGACTAAATTGAAAAGTTTTGTTTGCCTGTTTTAATTGCACACAAGCACTTATACTAATCTCTGGATCTACAAAATATACATAGTTGGAGAAATATAATCTACAATAGCAGAAACTTGAAATAGAAAATATTTTGGCCATATACACTTAGCAAAATGATCTCAATGACAATTACTTTATAACACTGATCAAAAAGGTGTCAAATTTGATGGTTGGAAATTGATAGCATAATGCAATGCAACTCAGACTCCACCCCAAAAACAAACCGAACCCCCCCTCCCCCACACACCAAAACAAACAAGGCAACAAACAAGGTTTGTGAGATCTTAAGGCAAGTTTACCATGGGGAACTTAAATGTAGTGTAGTAAGCTAGGGTATGAATGTACAGTGCACAGCAACTCTGCACTACCTCCACTAACTGTGTAGATGTGCCAAGTGTAAAGAAGGAATGTCTTTCTGCCAAGTTCTATTTTAAAGCAGAATAAGGCTAGGGACACATGCTCATTCATAGCACTACTAAGTACTGAGGCACTTTGTAGACCTACAAAAATGAAGCGCTATGGGGGCATACACCCCTGGATCCAGGTTCACCTCAAGGAGGTGCTCTAAACCAAAGGGTTCCTTTGCTCCTCAGCCCCAGGGGACCCTGTCAGTGAGCCAGATCACTGATAACATGTACTCTTTCCTGCTAGGGAAGGGATACTGGTAGCCAGTAGTCAACTGGCAGCTGCCACCAGCAGCAGCAGTGGTCAGAGACAGCCCCCCAAGTCCCTATGGAGGCAGGAGGGTTGAGGAGAGCTACTCTTTGTTTTCTCCTTTTTTGCAGTTGGTGGGAGGCCATGCTTGGTGCTGCAAGGGCACCAGCTCTTGCTGATACTCCCAGTGTTGGTGGTAGAGGCAGCTGTTTTGGCTGCAGTCCGGGGCGGGTCCACAGGCGGTGCAGTGGTGCAACTGGGGACTGACCATGCTGCAGAAACAGCAGCTGGGGACTTTAAGTCCTCAAAAAAGGTAAGAGGTCCACCTTCCATTCCCAGAGGCATGTCCCTTCCCCTCCCTTTTGCTGTCCCCACTATCCCAGTAGCAAAGGGAGCTCCTGTTCTTCTCCAGCCAGGCTGTGGTGGCTGGGGTCAGCTTGGAACGGACGAAGTGGTGGCAGCAATTCATTCCCCCTCCTTGCTTGGTTCCCCTGGGGTGTTCTCTGGTAGCCCAGGAACAGACACGGGGAGGGAGACCCTGTCTGCCCAGTACTGCTACCATTGTCCCAGGCTGAGCCCAGCCCCTACACAACCCAGCTGGAGTGACTGCGGAGCTCCCTTTGCCTCTGGGACAGCAGGAACAGTGATGATGGCAGGTGGGGGAAGAGAAGATGGGACATGCCCCTGAACAGGGAGAGAAAGGAAGGAGTGAGAATTTATACCTGCATCAGGGACTTTAAAAAGTCTCCAAGTGTTGTTCTTGTGGCACAGTCTGCCTGTATTGGTAGTAGGGTTAGTGGGGAAGAGCCAAGGAGGCTGAAAGCAGGAGGTGCAGCCACCTCTACAGCATGGGTTGCTGCTCCCTGGACTTCCTTTGCAAAATCCTGGATCTACTTCTGGCTGTAACCAATGCTATGGGTGCACTGGAAGTGGCAAGAGGATCCCACTAGAAGTGGGGATGAGGTAAGATTAGAGCAGTGCAGCATTCTGGGGACCTGAGAGATACTGTTGTGCTATGTGTAATTGTCCCCTCACTTTACACATGGGGCTACAAAAAGCCCCTAAGGAGAAGCTCTTCTTTGAAAGAAGTACATTTTTCAGGAGCAGATCAACCATTTGAGGGTTGCTATAGATGACCTGAACATGTGGATGGTCACTTTTTGTAGCACAACAGATGCAAATTGTGTCCACACTTTAAGTTCCATTGCCCTGAGCACATATTAAGAGGTCTACACAGATTATGAGTGCAGAGGAGTTGGAATTCACACCCTACACACTAACTTCCTTGTATAGACAAGTTCATAGTTTACAGTCTTGGAGACTGATATCCAACACACTAAAGCAGATTGTTAGAGGCAGGGACTGTTCCTAAGCTCTATCTAGATCAACCGAGATTTTTATTTTACTTTTGCTGTGTGCCTACTGTTCCTCCTCACCATCTCCTGCACCCTACTGAAACTGCTACCATGGGCTGCTGCCCTATATCTTAAACAGAACAAGCATATAAAAGAAGAGAAGCTGGAAGCAAGTAGCTTATTAGCAAGACCTTCTCCCTCAACTTTATTGGTTCAGGCAAGAACATTCTTGGAATGCAGGAACTGGAAAGTCCCATGGCCACTGGACTTCAGTTGTCAGTATTTAGAGTAGTGGGCTCCTGGAACATCAATGCTATCTGTAGAGAGCAACTTCAAAAGGAGAGGAAGTGACGGAATATATTTAATGATTGATATCTGCTGTCATGAACATGTGCATCAAGTTCATTTAAATTGATTGCTAAAAGTTTTAATGAAAAATTATTTTAATATTTGAAATCACAAATAGTCATACCAGAAGTGGTTGCATGGAAAACCATTGCTGAAGACTGTCACGTGACAAAACACCACAGTTCCCTTTAAATTTTTATGAGCAATTCTACATGCCTGTGCTTTTTCCACATATACCATTTAAAACAGGTGTTACATAAAGAAAAGTTAGATGCAGTTCTATAATGTGTATGAATGTTTACTATCCAAATTACAGCTGGCAAACTTGAAAATATTTTTTTTCAAGTTTGCATAATGGTGACCTCATTCTGGATTAGTATCTTTGGATGCCATCTCAATACCAATACTGAATAATAAAAGAATAATAGTAACATAATCATTATCCATTTATTTATGAATCTAAGGTCCTCTAGTAAATAGTAACTATCTGACGATGTCTGAGTGTTAATTTTGCATTTAGTCCTGAATTATACGTAGCTAAAAGAAATCATAGACAGACAGTCATAGACTGAAAAATCCTTGTGGTAGGAGTCTCATGAACACTGTCTATTCCAAAAAGTTAATGAAATATATTTTACTTGTGGTAAGGTGCTCAGATAGGCCACTTCAAAAACAAGTACATGAATAACTATGTAGGCTTTGGATCATGTCAAGTATCCCAGGTTTGCCCCCGCAGAACCTGAACAATTATACCACATTCTTCTGGATGCACAGTCCCATTTTGGATTTTAAGCTTCACTGCAGAACAAGAAAGATTTTTTTACCTCCAAGCCTGCCATCTGACACCTCTGGGGAAGGAATTCTACCCGATCTACACATCAAAGGGCAACTCAACACAGCTCTCAAAGACACTCGCATGGACCCAGAGGGACAACCATTCATCTTCAGCTCCCTCTGTGCAAAAATGAAGTATATTTCCTACCTATGGGGATTTTTTTTACCATCCTGTACCATCTATTCTTTTCCCAGAGCCTGACGAAGAGACTTTGATCCCAAAACCTTGCAGAAAAGGACAATTTTATTGCGATTTCCCAGTTGGTGTAATAAAAGGTATCATTTTGGAACCAAGAGTTCTACTTTTTTGTATATGTACAGCCCAATTTCCAGCATTTACTTTAATTCATTTTTCTTGGCACCTCAAACAAAATGCATTGACTTCTTAAATCCGATCACTGTACTTTTTCCATGTACATAACATAACCAGATAAATATTCTACTGAAACAGAAACATTAGCTCACATGCTTGTGAGCAGACTGTTCTAGTAGAGCTGCTCTTATCTTGCATCATCTTTACTGAAAAGAAATCAGACTTTCAGATTCCCTGATCAGGATAACTAGAGCATATGAAACTCATTATCTGGATCAAAAGAACAGCCACCCATTCCTCAGCTCATCTGGGAATGAGGAAAGCATTTGTACCCCCTTAATCATTATTGGTGCCCTATCCCAACAATAACCCCTTTCCTACAGTTACTGCCCAATATAACATAAGCTGTGGAAAATTCTAGACCATAGCCTTGTCCATGAACTGCAAATGGCCTGAACACAGATGACAAGTCCATTGTGCCTCA